TATCTTTTATTTACCGAGCGGGGTAGGTAGTTCTTTATTCCCGACTCCGCTTAGATAAGGTTCTAATAGTGTATCGCTATCGAAACTATCTTATCTCGATTTTTAGGTAAATATAATATAGTATTCTAAATACGCGATCGGAGATAAAGCTATAATTTAGTAAAGAAATTAAGCGCCTATTAATCCTCCGATAGTGCTTTAAAATATCTTTTAAGCGAGATAAGATAAAAGTTAAAGTCACTTAGACTTTAATTTAGGCCTTAACGGGCCTCTTATAAAGAGGTAGCAATATTAGCTTATAATATAGCCGAATTATATAGTAATATAAGGGTCTATTTCTCGAATAGTTCCTATATTATTTTATAGACGGTTCGCTAGGGTTCCGCTTTCTCTTTAATATAGTATCGCTACCTTTCACGGTAGTTAGAGCTTATATAGTTAGTAGCACTAAGGATCTTTCTTTCGTCCGACCTATACTTACGAGGTGTACCTATAAATATATCTTAAAGGTCGCTAAGCTAGTTTTAACGTTACTATATATTATAGTGTACTTTAAAGATCGGAACCTTAATTTTGATTTCTCTAGGGCCCCGTCCTCGTTCGGATAACGTAGAGGAGAAGCGTCGATAGTGATCTAAAGTCGATTTCTTAGTTATTTAGCCGATCGCTTCCTTAAGTTCCTTCTTCTAGGTAAGTAACGTATAAAGGTTTTTAAGGCGTTCGATCTTAGCGAGGTGCTCGCTAAGCTAGGGAGTCTAGTCCTAAGAACGGTCCTCTAGACTACTACTTCCGTCGTAGATAGTAGCGGGAGGGATTATAGACTTAGTGTCGGTTCGGTATAGGTTCGCTAGCGATCCGCGAGCGACCAATAATCGGGTTATTATGGTTACTTTAGGAGGTATCTTCAATCTTAGGTAGTTAAAGAAGAAGAATCAGAATTATAAGGAAAAGGGGTCTAGTGTTTATAGGATAGAGCCTATTAACTAGATAAGATGAAGATATCTAGGAAGCAAGTAGTATATTAGAGGAATATAGAGACTGATTCTTAGAGAACCTCTAGGTTCTCCTATACTAGACTATTTAACATAGAGGGTTAGAGTTACGGTGAGCTAACGCTGACGTGTTACTGGCGATCCTTAAGGGGTACGAGAGATCCGTGCAAGAGACCTATACATGATTCCTAAGGACTCCGTTATACACTTATCCCTCCTAACCCGTTAAATACTACTTTATACACTTCTTTAATTTCCTACTAGTAGATCCTAAATTAAAATAGACGAAATAAGCGAGTATTGTCCGTATATATTTCTTTAATGCGTGTTTTGTGCTAAAGTTAGTGACTATATATTCGATCTTGACCTTCACGCTATCTAGCAGAAGTCTTCCAGTATATCGGTAACGCCCTTATGTCTTACTATAGATCTAGATCCGCGATATATTATCTAGGATGAAACCGAGCCTATAGAATATAGGACCGCGGGTATCCCTTAAATAAATATTTTTTAACCTTAATAACGACAATCTCTCCGGCTTTAAGTGGATAGGTCTAGATTCTCCGTTTATTTCTACTTAAACTAGCGATAATTTCTATATATTAGCGTTCGCTTTTTCTTTCCCGAAGAGGTGCAATAGATAGAGCGTCGACTAGCTTGGTTTAGTTCGATATCTAGCGAGACTATAGGAGAGTATATATTCTTTTTTCCCTAGGTTGAAACGGCCCTAGGGAATCTATATCGGGTACGTAGGTAGGTAGTTACTAGACATAGTCGCCTAATATAGGATTGGTAAAATAGCTATTAGCTTCCGCATAACCCTATAGCCTAGTATAGAGCCTCTACCGTATTCCACGACGGCTATTTATACCCTTCTTCCTATAAATACGTGCTAAATATAGAATTCTTCTATACAGTAATTCCCTTTTAATTGCGGCTCTATCGTATTATCTCTAAGTTGTTAAAGTAAGATATAGGATAGATATAAATAGTTAATGCTTCACTCTTCTCTTACGTTATCTAAAAACCCTAGTAGATTGAGTCTATAAGGGTGATCCTAGTCATCGAGGATCCTAGTCAATCGACCCCGAGATAATTCTAGTGCCTACTTAAAGAAGCGCAGCCGAGACAGCTACTTATCGTGGCGAAGCTAAAGTCCGTCCCTCTCTTTAGTTAGGTGTCTACTAGCCTCCTTTAAGATCTGATTGCTCTGCTCTAGCTTCTAGCTATCGATATGTTTAGACACGCACGACTCCTATAGGCGTCGATAGAGTCCGATAATTCGACCTACTAGAAAGGCGAACTTAGGATAGTCGCGTTCGAGGTCTACTAGCACCCTTAGAATAGGTTAAAATAGCTCGGTCGCCAAGGTATGTCTTATTTCTGCTTCCTATTGCGAGGGAGAGAGCTATAACGGTCAGCAAGAGCATTGGAAGCTAAGCCGATTTACTTACCTATGGAGGGACATGATCAGAAGCTTCCTACGAATTGTCTTTTTCATAAACGATTGGCAACGGACTAGGCTATTGTTCTCCTTCTTTTTCCTAGTCTAGCGTGCTGTTAGGGGCATCCATCTTGATCGTAGGGGAAAGTCGAGTATCTGAGCAATAGCATGTCCATCAATTTATGGAGGCTTTTATAGACTAGCAGACATAGGTGGCTAGGTAGTCAGTCTCATTTTCACCATAAAAAGTCAATCAGCGTAGTCAGCCTTTCAATCTCAGAACTCTGTTAGCAGTCCGTTCAATGATGGTGCTGGTGCTGGTGATCAATCTCGTGGTGTTGATAGTTGGTGAACGACCATGGCCCATGATCCTAGCGAGCCCTCTGGCTGCCAACTGGCGTCCCCACTAGTCCCAGGCCTGGAGATGTGCGTCCGTGGTTAGGGAGTTGTTGAATATCACGGCGGCTAAGCCTGTGGAGCGGATTAGGATCGGAGATATAAAGACGGGCTACCCCTCTTCTATAAACAAGTCAATCAATCACTTATCTCAACATACCGACAGCCGTGGACGCAGGTCTATATTGGATATATGTCTATAGCCCCTAGTCTAGATAGGCTTTAGAGCTGTCAATTGGCGACCACCCTGGCTTAGTGACCATAAGGGTCCTGGTCTTCTGACTACGGTCTATATAGGTCACAGGTATTTTGACCTAGATCTCAAGTGCATTATTTATCGCCTTCTGCCGGCGTCTTGTCAGCCGATCATGATCACTATCGGCTTTGAGTGCTCGTGTGATCGAATCCGCCGCCTTTTCACTCACAACCAGATCGTCCCGAATGTCATAAATATCGTGTTAGTCCATCCTCGATCGCCGCATCAAAGGCCACTGCGGGGACCCACCCTTCAGCTGATAAGCCAATTACACCAGCCCTCACTAGGACAGCGTGGGTATCTGGCAGAGAACCGTCGTGCGCATTCCCTAGTCGCCTCTAGACTATCACAGTACGTCCCATAGAAGAGCCCCAGCGACATAGAAGGGAAAACGTCATATGAGCTAGCTCTTGGAACTACTCTACATAGCTCTATCATAGTGACAAAAGCAGCCTCTCATCCTAGTACCACTCCTATTAGATTTCTTTCGGGGTGCCATACGTCTTATCTATAGTACGCTCTTATTTCAAGCCACATAGGTCTACGCATGTCCTAAGAGGGGTGTCTCGTAGGCGTGAGGATCCTTTTAAGCAGATACGGGTATTATGTAGCCTGAAACAAGAGGCCATTACAGATGTGAGCGATGCCGCCCCGGGAGAAAGATCTTAGAAGACTTGATAAAATGAGAAGCATATCTTGTGTCTATCTTTGAACTATGCAGTGCTTCTTATAAGCTCGGTCGTAGGAAGACGTAGATGGTAAAATTTTTTTGGGTAGATTTTCTTAGGAAGTTAGGGTATTTGGAAATCGGAGGATAAAACCTTTCTTCTGAGAGCGTAATCCTCCTAAGAGAATCCTCTTAAGAGGAAATTAGTCCTATGAGTCCCGACCGGAGAGTAAATGCCAGACAAGAAAGACTACGTCATAGGAAACCCCTCTTCGTTCTATATACGTCCTATAACACTCAGCCCAGGTCTAGCTTAGTCTTAAGATAGATAGATCTATTAGGAAATGCACGGGGGCAAGGCCCAGATAGAGAGGTGTTGCCGTTTAGCCAATCTCATTCAACCCATCCTACTCTTCCACAGGGAGGACGCACGCTATTTAAAGCGTCACCTTCTCACACCCATAGGATGAGAGAGGTGTAGAAGTGTGCTATTCAATACTATGTCACACAATGTGCTACAACATTTGACATATATGAAGCATGTTCCAGAGAATTGGAAACCACGCCTCTCCGATCGGCATTCTACATGATGTACCCAACGGGACTCACTGGTGAGCTTATTCATCCATCCAAACTTTCTTTACGCCGTGTTCATAAGTTCACCCTAGCTTCCTGTTATTTCACAGACTACAGTCTTTAGCATGAAAAATAACATTTTGTTCGGGCTCAAGATATATTGTAGTTAGTTACGTCGCACTCCACTCCTACAGTAGCCTAAGGCCTAAGGCCGCCGGCGCCCCACCCTACTATCGAGATTGCTGCAACCGCATACGTAAGTGCATGATTGTCTAGGAAGTTACCATTGCTGGCGAAGCCCGCATATAAGGATGCAATGAATGCGTAATGGTCTTCTAAATGCAGCACACGTCCATTCCAAACTGTCTTTTTGGGTAAACGACATTATAAAAACCCACATTATGATGTTTTTGTGTAACTCCATGATATATACCACGCTGCTATTAGTTACAAGTCGCGTTCAATGCACCGAAATTCCCAACATTGCGCCCAAACTTGAAACCTAGGAAGTGTCAGGGTCCGAGCTTAATGAACAGAACACAAATAACATTCGAAGGGCAATATACGGTAGTATGTATAAATACCAGCCGTTGTTCAGGGTCTCATCCTGGCTGTCTACATTCACACTATTCTTCTTTATTTTTCTTCTTAATCACAATACATCTCAGTATGGCAATTTCTAACACAAAGACTATTCTGGTTGATCTCGGAGGCACATTTGTGCATCCACAAGACGAGCTCAAATTCGCTACAAAAGACTCTACCATCTCGCTGAGAAGACTCATGTTGACCTCCATCTAGATGGATTATGAGTGTGGCAAGCTTAATAAAAAGCAATGCTTTACACAGCTAGCTAGCGAGTACCACGTTGAAGTGGCCGAGTTGGAGACAACAATTGCAAATCTTCGTCAGACTATCACGTATGACAAGGAAATGACTTCTACCTTTAAAAAGATAAAAGAGTTAGGTGCACGCATTTTCCTTGTATCCAATATCTCCAAAGAGGACTATGCAGCGTTCCAGAACTTGTGGGATACGGACTTCTGGTCCATCTTTGACGGGGTCTTCACCTCCTCTGCTCTTAGCGTTCGGAAGCCGAATTTGCGCTTCTATCGACACGTTCTCTAGACCACGGGGGCAGTGCCTCATTTGACCTTTTTTGTTGATGGCCGCCCCGATAACGTACTTTCAGCGCTTTCGTTTGGTATAAAAGGAACATTTGATACCTCGGGTCTCTACCGGACCCTTACCAACTTTATTGGTGACCCTATAGAGAGGGGGCTCGCATTCCTTCGACAGCAAGGTGGAAAGTTTCCTACAAGCACTCAGTACGGGGAAACCATGGAAGAAAACATGGTTTTACTTCTGATGCTAGAAGTTCTGGATGATAAGTACGCCTACCTTTGACATAGCATGATTTTTGAACGGATAGCAAACCAATAAAAATTAGGAGCCTAGTGAATATTGATGTCCCGCCTCGATATTGGAACTTCTTCATTGGTCAGTCTTCTCACGAGTTCTCAATCTACCCAAAACTAATTGTGATACAGGAACGCATCAATTCACTACCCCTGTCTTCCCTCCAGACTTGGACATTATGACTCTTAGTCTATGTATCAGACCCCCAGATATGAAGACGATCCACTCTATCTTGGATGAAATGCGCGATTGTGTGGACGAGGATGGTATCATCCAGGTATTCTCAAGATTCTCTAATTATATGTTAACCGGCACAAGGCTGATCGCTTCCAAAAGGTATACTTTGACAAATCACGACCACGAGTCGACGCAGTCATTGCCCTCAATGTATTGGTTTCATTTCACAAATACGGTCGCGGTCATAAGCTGCCCTATACGATGAGTTGGATTTATGAGGTTCTATTTCACAGGGCTTACATTAAGGGAACTCGCTATTATTGTAATGCAGAGTGGTTCCTCTAGCACATGACACGTCTTCTGAGGGTTTCCACCGATTCCACACTTCGAGAAAGAATTGAGGGCCCCCTCCGAACACGCGTGGCTAAAAGGATTGGAGCTCCCGGCGATGCACACTGTCTTGCTATGCGGGTAATTGCTTACAAATATCTAGGAATTGAAAATTCTCGTGATCGCCAAACACTCTCTAAGATACAGTTGGAAGATGGCGGGTGGGAGGCCTCTTGTTTGTATCTGTTTCCGGTAGCGAATCGAGAGGCTAGGAATAGAGGGGCCAGCACAGCTTTTGCTGTGAAAGCTCTGCAGGATTAGGGGTGATTCTAGACTTGTAAACCGTTGACGTATCTCTTAAATTTTTATATGAATGAAGTTTAAATATTCCGGGCTCATCACTGATAATCGTCCTTGTCCATCGCTAAATAGAAAAAGTCACTCATATACTTGTAAATCATTCTTAGTTAAATGCCTCCACTGCTCGACCTACGTTCCCCGGCTTTCTCACCTATTGTCCCCCTGACCTCGCCCTATCCCACGGGGGTGGAGGAGTCTGGCAGACTCCAGGTTAGGGCTTTTCCTTCACTATGGGAGGAAAAGTGGGTCGTACGCCAGACTCTAGGTTTTTTTCGTCGCTAGACTCCTGAGGTCTAATAAGGTCCGATCGACCCCAAATTTTGGCAAGTTATAATAGACTACGTTAAATATCCCCTATTTGCTTCGGAGTATATATCGCCTAGTAATTATCAAGAAAAGGGCGATTGAAAATTAGAGATATTTTGATGGGGTGCGGGAATTAGGCTAGTTAGGGTTGCGACCGGGGCCTTAGGCTAAACTCCAGGGTTTCGAACGAATTGGATCACCTCGATTATCTTAGTCTACAATGATCAGGGGGGGTAGCAATTAATTCAGGGGGTTTTGAAGCTCCCTAGCTATCATCTCACGCTTTTTAACACTATTTCACCCCAAAGTTAGCATTCGACATTCGTTATATTTCATGCAATTCATTATTGTACGATATATATATTGCACTAGTCAACCATAGTAAGCCAACTTTTTCACTAACCTTCGACTAACCTAGTTATCGTGTGTAAAACATATGAATACGTTATTCGACCAAAAGAGGTCTTCCGGCACCTCTAGTCAGCTAGTCATCGAATAGGGAAGCCGAAAGCGCGCCAAATTGCTAAAGCTATACAAACATCTAAGCGCGCGTAAGAATGCGACGAATAGCAGCCACCAACCGTGGTAGACGACCTAATCCCCTATTTACTAGTTTACTTAGATAGCATTTTATATAAAAAGGGTCAGTTCTACCAATTTATAGCGCGGTTAGTCGGAACGATACGTTACCATTAGCGCCAAAGTCATAGATAGAGCGCACCCGCGAACTATGGCGGCCGTCGGCGCCAGCAAGGTTTATCGGCGACTAAGTAGCAAATTCAGCAATTCACGCGAATTGTCCAATACTAGCGAGCATTCGGTTAGGGGCTAGGATCCCATTATATTCGCGTACGTACGCTTAGGGCGGAGGTTATTCCTAAGGCCAATTCGATGCTAGCG